TGGTAGGGGAAATCTCCCAAACAAGGAAGTGAGAGGTGGGGCACAGTACATGTGAATTATAATCTTCAGCAAGAAAAGCAAATACTTTTTGGTAGGAACAATGTCAATTGGTAGGAACAATGTCAATTGAATAAGTACCTGCTTTTAAAATGGTGAACTTAGTCTATTTAAACAAACCAACCAACCTTCGATTACAAAAAAGGAGAACTGAACTGGATGTGTCTCTTAATGCTGTCCCTGTGGATTGTACAGCTTTTCCAACTCTGTTTCCTATCTTCTACTTTTGCCCCTCCTCCAGGTTTGCTTTATAAGGTTTAATTCTTTAAACTCCTGCTCCAGATTTCCTAAACAGGCAGTAAAATTTTCCTTGAATCCCCCCAACACCAGAAATTCTCCATTCCCCAACTGCCATTAGAACTTTTGGATCTCAAAGATCTTTGTTAAAGGACCCGCTCTTGACACACTTTTCTTGTTAAACGAAGGCAGCTTGTCATGATTTCTGTGTAGCCTTTGGCCTCAGTTCAGGAAAGCACTTAACAACATGCTTAAAGTTAAGCATCTGCTTAAGTGCTTTCCTAAATGTGGGCCTTTATGTGGCTGTTCTGAGACCCTGTAAAATGTTATGGAGCTTGCGTGGAGCATAACTGGGATAGATTCTATTTGCTGAATCCAGCCCTTATGTGTTGTAACCTTTTCATTAAAAACAACGAGGAGTCCTTGTGGCACCTTGGAGACTAACACATTTATTTGGGCATAAGCTTTCGTGGGCTAGAACCCACTTCATCATATGCATGAAGTGAAAAATATAGGAGCAGGTATAAATACATGAAAGGATGGGTGTTGCTTTACCAAGTGTGAGGTTAGTCTAATGAGATAAATCAATTAACAGCAGGATACCAAGGGAGGAAAAATAACTTTTGAAGTGGTAAGAGAGTGGCCCATTACAGACAGTTGACAAGAAGGTGTGAGTAACAGTAGGAAGAAATTAGTATTGAGGAAATTGTTTAGATTTTGTAAAGACCCAAACTCTCCCAGTCTTTATTCAGGCCTAATGTGCTGGTGTCCAGTTTGCAAATTAATTCCAGTTCTGCAGCTTGACATTGGAGTCTGTTTTTGAATTTTTGTTGTTGAAGAATTGCCACTTTTAGGTCTGTTATTGAGTGACCAGAGAGACTGAAGTGTTCTCCTACTGGTTTTTGAATGTTATGATTCCTGATGTCCGATTTGTGTCCATTTATTCTTTTGTGTAGAGACTGTCCGGTTTAGCCAATGCACATGGCAGAGGGGCATTGCTGGCACATGATGGCGTATATCACATTGGTAGATGTGCAGGTGAACGAGCCCCTGATGGTGTGGCTGATGTGGTTAGGTCCTATGATGGTGTCCCTTGAATAGATATGTGGACAGAGTTGGCACTAGGTTTTGTAGCAGGGTTTGTTTCCTGGGTTGGTGTTTTTGTTGTGTGGTGTGTAGTTGCTGGTAAGTATTTGCTTCAGGTTGCGGGGCTGTCTGTAGGCGAGGACTGGCCTGTCTCCCAAGATCTGAGAGTGAGGCATCGTCCTTCAGGATAGGTTGTAGATCCTTGATGATGTGCTGGAGAGGTTTTAGTTGGGGGCTGTAGGTGATGGCTAGTGGCATTCTGTTACTTTCTTTGTTGGGCCTATCTTGTAGTAGGTGACTTCTGGGTACCCTTCTGGCTCTGTCAATCCATTTCTTCACTTCACCAGGTGGCTATTGCAGTTTTAAGAATGCCTGTATTTTTCCCTTCATGCATCTGATGAAGTGGGTTCTAGCCCACGAAAGCTTGTGCCCAAATAAATGTGTTAGTCTCTAAGGTGCCACAAGGACTCCTCGTTGTTTTTGCTGATACAGACTAACACGGCTACCGCTCTGAAACCTTTTCATGGGCTCTCCTGTGCAGGGTCAGAACAGAGTTTTTATTATGCTTTCAGCTGTGCCACTTGGGGTGCATACTGCGGCTTGTTTAAGAGCTTCTTTGTGCAAGACAACTCAATCTAACCAAAAAACCAAAGCTGTCTTAAAAGGTTGGTACAGCTGCAGTCATTATTCACACTTATAGACAATAGTTTTCCTGAGATCCACTGAAGTATCAAGGCAAGCGATTCAAGCCTATATATACACAGACCTCAGTCGTCACTGCAGATTGAATCCGATACCTCCAGCACCAAAAGCACGAGTCTCTAATCACTTGAGCTCAAGAAGAGATCACGTCGTAGGTAATTGTTAGAGGGAGACATGGTGATATGTATTAGGCCATTGTATTACACAATCACCAGCACTGAAGCAAAAGACAAAGAGATACAGATGAGAAAGTGACTATACTGAACATTTGCATGTGGTATAGTCGTTGGGAATTCTGATTTTCTTTTTTCTTGGTATAGGTTGTTAATTTACTGTTGGTGAACCAAGCCACATTGTCTGCTCTGGTGATTGGAGTCCTCTATCTACCCACAAAACAGATATAGCAGGGCCCATGGCAATGCAAACTTCACACATGCTGCTCCACCAACTCACCTCAATGCTGGTTCAGATGGAGACCTGTCTGCATGGTTCTGGACTTGTATGCTGAGGGGTGAATAAGAGTAACTGTGATAGTGTGTGGAGGGATGGAAGTGGGGGTTATGTGGATACTTGTGTTAAGGAAGTGGATTAAGACCATCAGTTCATTTCATACAGGTGACTGAACAGCCATCACAGGCTGTGTCTCCGTTGCAATTCTCCCACTGTTGCACTAGGACTAATGCAGCTGCAACATGCTGGCAGTAGCATCAACCAGTTGTGAGCATTTTCGCTGTTATGTCATCTAACCCTGGTCTGAGTAGGCCAAAGGGTAACCGCTTTCAGTCACTACAGCATATAGGCTGGATTTGAACCAGCAAGGCTGAATTAAAAGGCTATGTATCCTATTATCAATTTCCTGAGTGGTCCAGTCACTCGTTTTCCATTAGTGAGGATTTTCTTATCAATAGGGAAAGTGCTAGTGTAGCAACCCAAACGGGGCATTAGCTACATCATAAGGATTTGAGACTAGGGGAGTCCTTTTAACACCAGCTGTTTACTCATCCTGAAAGTCAATATTGGAAAGCACTCCACTGGGGCCCAAAAATGAAACCAGTCCCTTGAAAGCATTCCTGTATGCCACACCTTTATTATTGTGAGGCACCAGGTTTACTCTGTCTCTAATTCCTGATATTTGCTCATTTTACAAATCAAACAATGATTTATTTGTTCCGAGCTCTACAAACTCAGCCTGGCCTCTGAAAATCAAGCTTTTTTTTTTTTTTTTTTTTTTAATGCATTGTCAGTAATAAATATTCTTCAGGATGAATTGTGCCCTCAGCAACATCTAGGCAAATCCATAGTCTCCAAATTATGTTCTCAGTGGCACTGGGCATTGCACAGGTGTCACCAAAGGCATAGCTTGGAGACGAGGATCTTGCCCAGGCAGGTGTTGCTGATGGCCCGACTATGAGATTGGGGGGTTGCACATGAGTTACTGAAAACATAATTCATACTGGAGAAACCGCATTACAGGCAATAATGCCTTGGTATGGGATGGGCGGTGTCATGTTTTGGGGAGGGGGTT